GGTGTTTCCATTATTTTGTCCAACCCATGTAGGTGCCTTCTAGTTTAATGTGGAACATCACTTCTATTAGGTGCCTTCTGGTTTAGTGTGAAACATCACCTTTATGTATGACCCTCTCATTATGATTAGTTGTGTATACTGGTTCAGGAGATAACCATCTTTGTACTTCATGACATGTCAGTATAATCAGTAACACTTACTGTACTTCATGACAAAATGACAGAATAATCAATAACACTTACTGAACTTCATGACAAAATGACAGAATAATCAGTAACACTTACTGTACTTCATGACAAAATGACGGTATAATCAATAACAATTACTGTACTTTATTACAAAATGACAGTATAATCAATAATACTTATTGTACTTCATAATATGACAGTATAATTGCAAAGACTGACTGTACTTTAAAATAATGTGAGAATATAATCACCCAGACCTATTGTGCTTTATGATAATGTGACAGTATAATGGTGGAGGCTGACTGTACTTCATGACAACATGTCAGTATAATCAATAACACTTACTGTACTTCATGATAAAATGACAGTATAATCAGTAACACTTACTGTACTTCATTACAACATGTTATCAAGGTAATATAAGTTTACTCTAATTTAGCATTTATTACTTAATGTCATGATAATTGATAAATTATGTGAATTATCACCACTTTTTCATCATTATTTTAGCCCATGTGGACAATGAGATCTATCTGTCCAAAGCACTTGAGCGATTGGGAACCAGTGCTAACATCAAAGACCAGGAACCTGACATAAGTAGGTGAAAGTATAGAACAGAAATCTAGTTCCTTAATTCGTATTGTACTTGAATTACTGATGATGTGGCTAGAGTTTCACTAACTTGTTGAATCTCAGTACCCAACAGTAATATATAAAAACTGACAAGGTCTTACCTCAGGAAACACACTGTTTTCCCTGTAGATCTGGTTACTTCTCTGTCTGTTCCTAAAGGAGTGTTTTAGTATTCAACAGTAATATATAAAAACTGAGTCTTGTCTTAGCTTAGGAAACTCACTGTCTTCTTCATAAACCTTGTTTCTTCCGTCTGTTTGTTTCAAGGTTCAACAGTAATACTTAAAATCTGTCTTAACTTGGGAAACACATCATTTTCTTTGTAAACTTGGTTATTCCTTTGTCTGTTTCTGAGGAATTGTTTCAAGCATGATAACAGTGCATCTGTTTAAATAGACTAGTTAAGATACAGATGTTTCAGTTTTAAGTGCAATTTTTTTTGTAAATTAAATGGAAATTACAATATTAATAATTTTTAAATGGCTTAAATAGTGCATTATACAATGAAAAAATATTTTTATGAGAATTGTTCATTATATTTTTAGGTACTGCATTTATAAATTTCTCAATTGTGACCAAAGAACTTACGCAGTTGATGAAGATTCTTGTAAGTCTCATATTCACGTTTTTACTTCATATGGGCTTCATTTAAGTGTGTTAATCTTTCACCTGAATGTTGGTAAGACTCTCACATTTATGTTTTTACTTCGTATAGGCTGTACTTAAGTATGATAATCTTTCACCTGAATGTTGGTAAGATTCTCACATTCATATTTGTACTTCGTATAGGCTGTACTTAAGTATGTTAATATTTCATTTGATTATTGGTAAGATTCTCACATTCATATTTGTACTTTGTATAGGCTGTACTTAAGTATGTTAATATTTCATTTGATTGTTGGTAAGACTCTCACATTTATGTTTTTACTTCGTATGCGCTGTACGTAAGTATGTTAATCTTTCACCTGAATGTTGGTAAGACTCTCACATTCATATTTGTACTTTGTATAGGCTGTACTTAAGTATGTTAATATTTCATTTGATTGTTGGTAAGACTCTCACATTTATGTTTTTACTTTGTATAGGCTGTACTTAAGTATGTTAATCTTTCATTTGATTGTTGGTAAGATTCTCACATTCATATTTGTACTTTGTATAGGCTGTACTTAAGTATGTTAATCTTTCATTT